AAAAAAAAAAAAAAAAAAAATCTAGCATCAAACAAGATAAACTCAATCGGCAGATATCCATTAGACGATTTCAGAACAAATTTATGCTTGTTAATGGAGCTCGGATATTGAGAATGCAGTAACCTCATCTCGCAGCTGCTCGGCTTCCTCCCTGGTGACGCCTTCAGCAACATTTTCGCTTACAAAAATATCGAAAAATATTATCAAAATTAGCATCAGAGGCTTCTTCGGAGCAGCCATAGCATAGATCCCCCGCAGAGTGTGCGTGTGCGAGAGAGAGAGAGAGAGAGAGAGAGAGAGAGAAAGAAAGAGGGGTGAGTGTGTAATTCTGCTTTAGTCCCAATTTGATCTGATCAGAATCAGACAATCAATCCTGAAAAGGAGATGATACAGCAGAATCGGGGTTGAAATCGGAGAAAATGGTTGTATGTCGGGGCTGATATATGTCGTAATTAGTGATACTTTGGGGACTGGAAAAGGAGACCAATTTTTGGAAAAAGTTAATTACGCAGCAATCGTTAGATTAAGTATTTCCGACAATTACACAATGATTTAATTACAAATCTCGACGAATTAGTTCCGCAACGAGATTATAGCATAATTTTTTAACTACTATTAGTAGTTCTGTTTTTCTTCCTTCTCTTTATTGTTTTTGCCTTTTGGGTGAAAAAAAATGGTTTTGGCCAATAGTACTACTGTACTAGGCGTGATTGGATACAAAAATTTCCACTTAAAGTGGTTTTTTATGTTAGTTGAAACTTTAATTTATATTAAAATAATACAATTAAAATTGATTTTACGATAAAAGTAATAAAGTAATAGATAGATAAGTTAATAAATAGTAAATTAAATTAGATGTGACGTGTAATATTGATTGAGTGATATTATTTAATTATAGAGAACATTACACTTAACCCACCTAACTATACGGTTTTTTACACTTTATCCACTCAACTTTTTTTCGTGACACTTTGCCCTTATAACATTCTAAATAATTACACTTAGCAAATTTTCGGTCATCGTCCGGCCATCTCTAAGGGCAAAGTGTAAATACAAAAATTGAGTGGGTAAAGTGTAAAGAAACGTATAGGTGAGTGGGTAATGTGTAAATTTTTCAATGACAATTAATATAATGAAAGATTGAAAAGTCAATTTTTCTCTTAGAATTCCCTGACGATGACCGGAAATTGGTTAAGTGCAATTCTTTTTTTTTTTTTTTGCAAAGTTAAATGGGCAAAGTGCCACGAAAAAAAAAAAAGTTGAGTGGGTAAGGTGAAAAGACTCGATAGTTAGATGGGTTAAGTGTAGTTTTTCCTTAATTATATTGATAATAGTGAAGTTAAGTTAAAATTGAGTTAAATTTTGAATTAGATGAAAATTGATGTGAAAAAATTTTATATCCAATCACACTTTTGCTTATCAATTATCTCTAACTCATGCACAATTCATTAATAAAGAATTGAGTAGTACTAATTTAATATCAAGAAGTTGATTAATTATATTGTTACCAATTAAATTAGTCAATGGACGTTGGATCTTAAACATGAAGAGGTAAATCGAGAAATTAGCTGGAAGATGAATTATTTATAATCCGGGGGCTAAATATTAAGTAATATTTTTATAGTTATATTTAATATTATTCAACTGTGAGCAAAGTGGACTTGATCCACAATTAGGTACATAGTTGAGGAGCTCATATTTACAACCTCTTTAGGGTCCCTATAAGCCTATATATACACCAAATCCTTAGCTTCCATACAGACATAGATGAAAAACACGATCAAGATCTCTAATCTTAAGCTCTTGATAAGCCAAATCAAGAGAAAGAAAATGAGAAATTTGTGAGTCTTGTGAGAAGTTCAGGAGATCCAATAAGTTGTCCACCACGACGAATCGAAGCAGGTGATCTGTCATACAACAGAAGATTTTAAGGTTGTACGTTCATTTTCCAGCGAATATATATGTCCTCAGCGCGCATTCGACGACAACCAAACTTGGCAGCCCCGACTAATGGCGACTGACACACGCTACAGCATCACCGATGGTAGCAGACGGCACACCGACGAGGCCAGGAAGACCCGAAGACCAGCATCCGCAGATGCAAGCGACCCGCAGATAGCCTGCTCTAGAGACCTGGTGACGCAGCAGGCAGACCGCACGAGCCACCTGCAGGCACAACGCGAGCACAACCCAACGACCATCATGAGATAATGCAAGCCACCTATAGGCACAAACGCAGTGACCTAACAACAATCGGCATCTCTCGGAGACAACGGTGGGATCAAGTTCACCCGACGATCTGCGACGAGGTAGCTCGGCAATCCACGATGATTAACGAGGTATGGCTGATGTTCATCATATTTTCATGCATTATGAGTGATATAGTGTGATGTTTGACCGTGTTTATTGTGGGATTGCGCACCATTTCGTTTGATATATTAATCTATGATGG